ACAAATCGATTCACTAAACCGTTAAAAAGTTATTGAAATTTTAAAAAATTGTAATTTTACACGTCATTTTATGGAGATTCGTTAACCGAACAGATTAAATTTATTTTTATTAACAGAAAAAAAGCTACCAGAAATTTCAAACTTTTATAATAAATAACTTGAACTCTGGAGAATCACTTTAGCCCAAGGTTATTCAAATTCACTAAATGGTTATCGAGGAAAAAATGAAAATTTAGCTGAAAATCTCTTTTTTACTTGTTTGTTTCGAAGATGAAATCAAGGCATATTCACTATCAAAGTCAGTTAAAAGTTTTCCATATTATTCGTTATTTCTTATTTTATTCAAAGTTTTTGGTCAAATTCCAAATTTTATCTCAAACCATATACTTTTTTTTAGTATAGATAGCATTTATTTACCTTATGATATGCTGCAAAACCTAATTAATCATGAATTTCAAATTTTATCTACTCTTGTCTCCGATTGTACCTCGCAAACGTCCTTAAGAGAAAATAAGTTGGTAGGAAGTGGACAAGATACGTTTTAGAAATTGTTGAGAATCACAAAATTAGACATTATCTTGCACTTGTTTTATTCGTAAGTACCTGATTCTCGCTACTTCACCCGTCGGGTCAGAACTGTACACTGCATCAAATGATCCGCGACTGTCGCGTTGTTTACGATGAAGCAGAAGTGGAAGCTTCCTCCTTGACGCATCATTTGCACCCCGGGTATCACTAATTACTATTTAAACCCCACTTTGAACATTCTATTGATATAAGACATGGACACAGTTGGGTGGGTCACTTTTCTAGTTTACTTAAATGAAATTTACTGTAATTACAACTACAATTACAATAAAAATTGTAATAAATCAGAAACTGATCGAAAAGAAAACGGAGGAAAATCGCCCCCTTCCCCCAAACTTTATGACTTATGGATTACATAGATACTTCAGTGCTGTGAAAAATTTGTTAGAGCAACAAATTAGGAAAAAACAAAGTAATAAAAAATTTACAGTTCACAGTGTAGGAACAAGTTCATAAATCAGTATATAAGTGGATATCTTATTATAATTCCGTTTCTTATTTAGCCTCACTATGTAGGTACATTAGGGTGGCCAAAAAAAACTTTTAATTTTTTTATTCTGTTACCATGAAAATACTATTCAAAATGACAAAAAAATGAGGCTGTTAAAAGGCTCTAATTGTGATTTTTAATTTTTAAATAACACGGGAATTTTTTTTTTCGAAATTTTATGCGTTTTAACGAATTGAATTGAACGATTAACATTAAAATTAAGAAATGCCCTTTTTTTATCATTTTGAACAGTATTTTTATGGTAACAGAAGAAAAATAAATTAAAAGTTTTTTTTGGTCCACCCTAATTTACATACGTATTTGTTGGGAAATAGACGTGTAAACGTGAAAGTAATATCGCATTTCCTAATACTTTTTTTGCGACAAAAAGGAAGATTCTATCGACAAATCATTCGGAGAGGACACGAGTAGGGTGTGAGCGTAAGTGATCACCCCCATACACACACATACATGTATGTAGACATTTGTCGGTAGAAATGAAATACTTATTGATTTTGAATATTCTACTTTGAAAGCGTAGGTGACACTTCCGAAGCAATCAGATGCAAGACGGGTTTCCAAAACACCCCCGCATCTCAGACGCCATCCAAACACAATCAAATACCTACATTGACACATACATATATACATAGGTGGAAATATGTTTTCGTTAGTTGCATTCTTAAGTTTGTAGAATATCTAATCTTAACAACATTGTCACCTTCGACGATATAGTACAACTACTTTGATTCAAGTATATACAGAATGTTTCATAAATTACGTAAGGCGTTACGGTCCTGTTATTTAGGTGTTTGGCAATATGTGACAACAAACTTTAATGTTTGTAAACAATTGTAATTGTTTATTTAAAAGTTGGGTCAGGTTAGGTTAGGTTAATAATTATAAAAATTAGACATTTTTCCTTTCTTTAAATTGGAGCCTGAACCTTTTACAAANAGGTAACGCCGCATGAGTCATGTTTTTTCGTGCGTGCAGTCGGCTCCATCGAATTATAAGACGTTGTCACGTCAAAACAAAAAATCCATAAATATATTTTACTAAATGTAAAATGCTGTAGGATGTGTAATTATCAAAAGCCTGTGCCGCTTACTAGCCAGCGAAACATTAGAGCTCCGTCATAAAAAAGAACACTCTACCTGACGGTCATACTCCCAGCTCTGACATATAGGATAAGCGTCTGGCAAAACGCTGCTACCAAGCAACTTAACTAAAGTTCAAGTCCTGCAGAACAAACTACTAAGAATTACCACGCACGCCCCCTGGTATGTCAGGAACGCACAACTACACAAAGATCTAAACATAATCACTATCACTGATCTAGCAGTACAAAAAACCTGAGACCCGTACAGCAAAGCCGAATCACATACAAACCCAATCATTTTACAATCGATCTATCAGACAACTTAGCTAGAAGTAATAGACCTCGATTAATCTAGCATTAAGCAGGTCTCCACCCTTCTATACCACAGATACTCCTTCTGGAATTAATAACAAAAACTGTCAGATTCAAGAGGTTTACGGCCCAAGACCAACCTACACCATCATGAGAAGATAGATAGATGTAGGGTGTGTAGGCTATCGTCACTGGATGTGCTAGCACGACAAAAGGAACTTACGGGAAGTTTCCGGAAATAATCAGGAATCTTCCGTGACCGTTTAAATATAAGTGATCTACATCCGACGGAATATAGTCGATACAAGAAGGTTAAATAGTAAATAACTTTAATTTAACTTTTATTAAGTATTTAGTGTTTCTGATTTAAATAGATTGTTTGTATATGAATGACTTATTTAAGTAAATAGAGGTGACGTAGTAGATAACTCGTTACAGTATCATATTTGTTACCTCAGATGAATACGGAATGAAACAAATTATTTCGCTGATTAAAAGCCGTGATTGTCATCGAAACTGTTTTCTTTCAACATCTCGAACTGATTCGTGATAAAAAGATGATATCCGTTACATGGAGCGTTTATAATCCCATGAAGTGGTTACTGCGATTGTCCGCCATGGTTGAATTCGAAATTTGAAACGACGAGTTGCATCCGCAGGGAACAAGTTTCGCTATAAAAACTTGTCACTCGTGCAGTGTCATGGTTGGTCAATCTGCACCGGACATGATGTATTATTTATCGTTAACATCATAATACGTCTCCGCGAAGAAATAAAATGATTACAGAACGAATTGGCCCTTTTTCTTCAGCATCACTTGTTCATTATTCAGTAAAATGGCAAACGAGTGGTCGGTCGTCTACACGAAAAATTTCTTTCGCGGATAAATTTTACCGCGATGGTGACGTGATCGAATACGAATTTATGACGAAAAAATCATAAATAATGTATCCGGAAGACTTAATGGAACGATTTCAGGAAAATTCTGCGTCTGGCGTTCCACAAGCGTCGGGACAAGGTCCATTGATCTTTATAGACTCCTGTTACCACTAACGATGACAATATTTTGTAATTTTTAATGTTCTTTTCGTTGCATCGGATTACTTATCGATGTTGTACTCCTTATGAAATCTTTACGTAAATCAAGCTAACACGATAAAATTATCCTTCTTATTTCCAAAGCACACTATAATGGAAAATAAATGAAAATAAACGAAATGAAGCTCGGCACTACGCATAGGGTATATGAAGTAGAGAAATGCTGTGAGGGCTATAATTTATACTTTTACCCATTTTTTTAATTGATTCCTCATGTTGATCAGTGAAAAAAGATTTAAACTGGTACTATACACATATCGTATCTCGAAATATAATAAATAAATAATACTGACAAATTAGCTACAAATTGTGGTCCTACGAATTTTCTATTTCGGTTTTCGCTTGATGGTTCTCTAAACATTTTTCGCTGAACGGCTCGAGGCTGGACTGTTTTAGCGACAAATTAGCTAGAAGTTGTAATCCTTAGAGTACTTTTCTGTCATTTTTGTTTCGAAGTACGCTATGTACAGTGGCAACTTGAAGGTTCACTAATCATTTTCGCTAGACAGTTGAAAGATAGAGAGTAGTGGCAAAGTAGATAAATCTTCCTTTAGCAACAAATTACAGTTCTATTTCAAGGTCATCATCATAAGGTTGTAAGTCCTTGGACTGGTTGGACACACACCTGCACTCTTTCCTATCCTGAACTAATCTAGAACATCCCACATCCTATTTGCAAGCAGTAATCTAATCTAGGTCTACCTCTACTCCTTTTAACTGCCTCTTATATGTCTCTGACTAGACCTTCATGTGTGAGACAGTGTTCTACCAACCTATCTCGTCTATTTTTTATTGACTTCCATAGAATCGTCTGTTTTCCTATTCTTTCTAAAACCACTTCATTTCTAACCTTCTCTATCCACAATATCCCCATTATTCGCTGGTAACACCACATTTCAAACGCTTCTAACCTTTTCTTTTTCGCCGCGCCCACCATCTATGTTTTGCACCCGTACAGCGCTGCGCTCCAAACATGAACCTTTAACAATCTTTTTCGAATTTCTAAATTAATCGTTCGCGAGCATAGAAGTGACTTCTTTTTATTGAAGGCGACACTACCCTGCGCTATCCTCTGCTCTATATCCCTACTACTCCTTCTGCCCTGTCTTATATGACTTCCTAGAGGTACGCTTTGTGTATTACTAGGTTAATGTCAGCCCATCCTTTCGCCTATTTTAGTGAAATGTGCATTACTACTGTTAGAATAAAATGTTAGTGCATGGCGGCCTATAGGCAGATATTACGTCATCTTCATTTTTCGGAATCTAGCGAGACTACTGATGAAAATTAATAAAGTTCCAAATGGCTATTCACGTTTGGTAATATCGATAAATTATAATATTACTTACCAAGATCTTAAACCGAAACTTTTATTGAATGTGATCATAATTTTCTTTTTTTTTGTTTCAGGTATGAACTTATTCCCATTGATAGTCGTTGAGTAGAAGAACTGTAGTGTAACCTCATGGTAACTACCCTTCTGCAGCAAAAGTTTAGTAAGTAGATACAATTTTTTAGATGTACAAACCGTTGCCGTTGTTCAGTAAAAACGTGAATATTATTGAATCTAAATCAAATTATATTTTTGTGTTAAGAAGAAATATTGATCTGACAAGTTGTGTGCATTTTAAAACAAAATGTGTTTTACCTTGAACAAACTCGATAACAGATTTGCTTCTCATTATTTGCAGTGCATTGCATATGACAATTATTTTCAGTGTAAGTTATTGGCAAATGTATTGCTACTGACAGAAAAATTTAACAGAAATATATCGAGACGGTTATAGCGATGCTTAATTGTTCTTTCAAAATGTGCTTGCGAGATAATATTCGTTTCACGTACAGGTCATCTTCTAGTACTTGTAAAGTTAAATATTTCGAAGGAGAAGTTTAATAATACAAAATAATAAAATCGATTATCAATTGTACTGTATGTTAGGTTATGTTAAATTGCATAGGTTAGGACAAATTTTGTTGAATTCACCTTTAAAGGTCTAAATGTTTCCTATGAGATTCCCTATCATGAAATATAAAGGGAAGACGGCCAAAAATGTTTTTCTCAGTTTTGAGTGAAAAAGTTCATTTTTAGACGAGGAATTTTGGCTTGGGTTAGCAATAGGTTTCATTAAAATCAATCGAGTAACATGATGTGCACGCCCTCCTCCTCCCCTCAAAGTTGGAAATAGTTACATTAGATGTTATGAGGAAATTTGAGTCTTGGTTATGTCAGATACCCAATAAAAACAAAGTCAATGTCAGTGAGATTTCCAAATTCAAAAACATAATACAATGATTAACCGTTGATGAAATTTTAACACTCCTGAAGCAACCATCTTCAATTCATTTCACTTAATTTCTAAAGACAGATAAAGCTAATTAAAAACTCTTTTTCAAAACAACACCTCTGGGTGGTTTCGATAAATAATGAATCCAAGTTTAATAAATTACAATATCAGTAAATTTTCTTAACTAATTTTGTAGAAAAAGGTTACTTATTTTATTTTAAAGGATTTATGAGCTACACAAATTTTTATTTGTGAATCATTCAACAAAATACGTTTATCCAATTTTGGACGTGTAACATAGAAACGAATCTATCTCATTCAACAACAACTACTGTTATCAGTAGAGTACATAAATCAAACAAATGAATCCGATCTACCATATGATGTTTTCAGTAGGAATTTAACAATTCGATTAATGATGGTAAAACTTCCTTGAGTGTTCTTTCGCTGGTTAGTAAATCGTTCATTTCACAGTGTGAAGAACATTGGGCAAGTTGCAAAGTGTGACACGGTCTGATGCAGGCCCGGATCAGATACGGCAGATCCGTGTTACAAAATAAAGAAGTCTGTATTTTAATTGCGCGATGATGACGACGATAATGGGGAAGTTTTGTCATAATTTCACAGCGGCGTAGTTTGCCTTGTCCGTTGTCGACGACTTGACGATTGCATTGTTTAATTAATTAAGAAGAGGTCCCCTCCCGTCACGCCGCGTAAATTTATAACGCGGTCGTGTTCTTTAAAACGAGACCGCGGACGGACGGCGTTTCTCGTTATTTTTCATCTTCGTCTTCCCCATTTCGGCACCTCGGAAGCCTGTAATTTTTCAAATTGAGGAAGGCGAGATTTTTTTTTATCTTAAGCCGATCCTCGAAGCACCGTGCTCTGTAATTAAGGGGCGAATCTGACGAGCGTAATTAAACATTACCGACTGAAACTTGTTTAAGTCATTTATGAATCAACTTTTAAAAAGTTTCAACACTTTCGTTCCACATCAACAATACCAACAGCTTTTTCACTAAGAACCGGAACATTTATTATTTATGTAAGTCGACTACTTCCGCTCTTAATCAGAAAACATCATTCCGAAAAATTGTAGTCTAAGAGACGTTATATCAGATAATATCTACTGAATATTAAATTTTGCGCTTTAAAAATAAGAAACATCACAATTACTTACTCCATAAACTATTGAAATGTGATTCATAGATGCAGTATATTTTTTGATAAAAAATATGTTACGATTAATCGATTAATTTGCGTTAAGTTGGTTACCATGCGTTTTATGTTTCATTTTTACAATCTTTTATCTTTGGGAAGATGCTGTAATTTGAAATTTATTTAATATTCCTTAGCAGATTTAAAGAATAGCAAACCATAATAAATATGTTATTAGGTTAAGTATAAGGATTGAAATTAAGTATGAGTCTAGGGATAAAAAAATCCAGGAAGTAGGGAACTTGTAACTGTTTTATTCTACACTAGTGATTACCCGTCGCAATATATAGGATGAACATTTGGTACCGGTTGTAATTTAAGAACTATGATCTCCGGGGAAATATAAGGAAATTGCTATAAAAAAACTAGGGAATAAAAATAAATTCATTTGGCAACACTGATTTTAACTCGTTAGCTCTTTGCTTCTATAACCTCCGATGAGAAACTTCGTTCCACTCGACTATATTTGAAATCTTTAAGAAACATTTGCACTGTTTCAACCATTTGAAATGCGATTCTTTCCTAGTGTGCTTCTATGTAATAATCAGAATATGCTCCCAAAATTTAATTCAAATCGACCCAGTAGTTTGAGCTCTTAGTGAGCCACTCAGGACAAGCTCCTTTGTATATAGAGATAATTTTAGAGATCAATATTCTATAATAGATAAATATGGATTTATGCTATGCATATGTGGGATCTAATAAAGTTTTATAGAAAGGTACTGTGGTGAAAAAAAAAATTAATATCTTGAAGCTGAATGAGACAATATACTTCACTTAAATCTAATCAGCATCTAATGATAAAATTAACAAAAATATGTCTCACTTAAATAAGTTCTATAATTAGAAAAAATTAAAACAAACGTAATGCTATCTCCAATTTATTTTATTGAATACATCAAGAGTAACTACTTAAATGATACTAAAGTTTAGAATATGTTGTTTCAATTTTTATAGCAATTTGTATAGCTATTAGTTACCACCTATATGAAAGGAGTGGAGATATGTTTTAATAAAACTAAATTTTGTTTCTCCATTAAGACTTTTTATATTTCGTTTACTTTCTGTAGCGATGTGACCTTCAGTTTGACCGGCGCAAAGTAGAAAAGAACAGCACTAGGCCAGAAAAGGAAGGAGGCAACTCTCGGCCAAACTCTTAACCGGTGAGGAGCGTATAATCCGTACAGTACTGCACGGAAAAATTGACCATTTTATCCACTACAATTGCATTGCTCAAATGTGCTGTTATTGGTACCAT